TTCAGGGCACTTCATGATGTATATGTATATGGGAAGGCTTGTTCAACACCACCCTGAAAGACACTATGACATCACTATGACTTCCGAAGTTGGGGGGTAGATGTTTTGGTGAGAGGTCAGGAAGTCGGCTTGCACCCCTCTGACGATCGGAGGCTGGGAGCAGAAAAAATGGAGATCGCATGAATTGATGGACGGATGGATGGATGGATGTGAACAGGATGGATGTGCGGATGTACGGATGGATAGACGGATGGACGGATGTACAGATGTATCTGCATGGGTGTACGGATTTATGAAGGGATTGACGGATGTACGAAGGGATGGAGGGATGGATGGATGGATGGTGCATCTGAATGAAGGAACGACTGCATGCATGCCTGTATGAGCTAGTTCCAGAGGAATGCCAGTCTAGTTCCCAGAAACTCGAGGAATGCCGATCTTATAAGTCTCAGCAGGCAGCCTCAAGCCTAAAGCCCATAACTCCTCGATGCGACGTGCCAGGACTTCGAGAAGGCCGCTGAGGTGAAGCGAGCGATGGAGGAGCTCCTCACGCACCAGGATCGGGTTCAGGGCTTTGGGCTTTGGGTTCGGGGTTTTGGGTTTAGGCTTTATCGGGTTTTGGGGGTTTAGGTTTGAGGTTTAGAGAGTCGCTTTAGGGTTCAGGGCTTTAGAGTTGCGTGAGGTTGAGGTGTATGTGGTAATTATGGGGTTTAGTCTTTGGAGCGTTTGAGGTGTAAATAAGGGAACAGAAGACCAGATCTTTTGTTCCATGTTAGTTTAGCATAGTCATGCAGTAACTGTGTGATGTAAAGCTCGCTTTTGATTAGACTACACGGCTGCATGCTAAGAGCGGACCTAGTGCAGCAGTGCATAGCATAGTGAACTACAGGGAAGCATACGATGCTATGCCTACTGATGCCTAGATAAAACCCTAAGCCCGAAACCCTAAACTTTAAACACATAAGCCGTGGTTAGGATACCATGCCCTTTGCCATGTGGCTAGTGCATTTCTGCAGGACCACGCGCATCAGCACGACGTCCCCGTCGGCTGGACGAGCAGCGACATCCCTTTGTCGGAGGTGGCCCGGCACAACAAGCCGCACGACTGCTGGATCGCCATCTGCGGCGAGGTCTTCGACCTGACGGATTTCCTGAAGCACCACCAGGAGCAGCGCAACTCCATCCTTGCCTGGGCCGGCCGCGATGCGACGCCCATGTTCGACAAGATCCCGGGCAGGTTCCCGAGCAAGCAGTGGATGGAGTACTACATGCGCCCGGAGTTCAAGACCGGCAAGGTCGGCCCGGAGAAGCCAGTGGACTCCATCATCATGGAGCTGCG